AGCACCTCCTCCTCATCCCTTCCTTCCAGGAGTGAGTCACCTCCGCTGACGCCGGAGCGCTGGAAGAAAGGACAGGCTTCTCCACCAGGAGGTCACTCAAGGCCCACTGTGCCCACCGGGCAGCATCGATCCCTCCCTCGGCCCCCAGCAAGTGGAGGATATTGTTCGCAATCATTTAATTTTCTATTCGAATGGAGCTATAAAGACAGATCAATAGGCCTCACTGCCGGGGGCTGCACGGAACGGACACTGGGAGCTAATCAGATTGTGTGGGTGAAGAAGCAGCCCCTTCCACCCGGGGGGCTCTTCTATAAGGTTCCACTTTTCTACTAAAGCTTGAAAATCAGAATCTGCTCAGAGGACATAATGGGTGAAAAAAACCCTCTGTGACATTTGGCCTATAAATTCTATTGGGTCCAAGATGATCAAAACTTTACCCCGGAGTAAAAGGGAGGGAGATGCTGTGGAATCCCCGCGAGAAACAGACACCCAGTGTCTGGAGGGTGTTTGTGAACCTCTGTTGGAAGCCAGTATTGGCTCTACTTTGCAAGCAAGGAAATAAATTCACACACACAGACACGCATATATGCGTGTGTACCTGCACACAGCCCATGCACGTACACACGGAGACACTCACATATGCACGTAGGTCTATAGAACACACGACAACATATCTATGTGATGAGCAGCTGGGCCAGCATGACAAGACACAGCCAGGGTGACCCAGAATTTCCAGGCGTGAGCTCTGAAAGTCCCACGTCCCGGGAACCCCTTGGTCCTGGGCAAACCAGGATGTTGGCAGCCCTAGACACGGCCTGCTGGTGCTACTCGGAGGGAGACCCAGCTGCTCATGGTTGAGAACCCAGCTGTCCAGTGCCTCAGCAGCCCAGCAGGGTGGTCCTGTGAGTAGCACCTCCTTACAGCGAGTGTGAGCAGGGGCCTTGCAGTGCAGGCCTCGGGATGAGTCTGTCACTTAGTGCGGACATGCCAGCAAGAGCCAGAGCCAGGGTGGCCTCCCCCTCCCCCACACAGTGCAACCCCTGTCTGGGGCAGCTAGGAGCCAGGGCTGGGCCCCTGCTGGCCGCAGGCTGCTCTGTGAGCTGCTGAGGGGTGTCAGCAGGAGGAGAAGGGAGTCAGGTGGGAGGTTCTCAGAGGAGGTGAGCGACGGGTCTCAAGTCCACTGAGAGGCAGAGCAGGGCTTGAGCAGGGATGGGGACAGCCTGGAGCTCACCAAGTCAAGCGAGTGGCCTTCTGGAAAGCATCCAGAGGGAGGAACAGCTCTCCCCAAACCTCTGTGCTTTCACCCTGTGCTCTGAGTCCCACTCATGAGGGCTTGGTCCTCAGTTTCCTCATCTATAAACTAGGGAGAATTAAGAGCACAGAGTGCATTAGAAAAGCCCCCCCACACCCCCATAGATGAAAGCGGTCCGAGGACCCTGCGGGACATGTGGCACATGGGCTGGGGGTCAGAGCCCTGAGTAGGGGTCACCCTCACAGTTCAACCTGAAGTCTCTGCACTCTGCTCCCCACTTAGCCCTCCCAGCCCAGCCTGAGCTTCACCCTGAGCCCTGGCCCCAAGAGAAATGAGCAGCTGCAGACTTAGGGAGCTGCAGAGATGGCGCCAGGTGCAGCAGCAGCCGGCAAGGAGGCCTGAGCCCCCGACTCCCTCTGTGCCCGGCAGCCTGCCTGCCTAATGCTCAGACACATGACACACTTTGCATCAGGCCGAGGCTGTTTTATTTAGTCCTCGCAAGGTCAGGTTGCCTTGGTGTGCTGATTGTACGTTCACACCCAGGTGCGGCAGGAGACTCCACCCTGCTTTCATGGCGTGAACCCCAGAGGCTGCAGGACCAAGCGGGTTTACCCCAGGTTCTTTACTGGCACTCACTCCCCAGCCCTTTTGTTTTAAACCCTGGGAAGGCTGTCACACTGCCACCCTCCTGGCACAAGCTGGTGGCGATAGGCCTGCTCGGGGCTGATGACCTCACTTGGGCTATGCAGTGGAAACGGCCTAGGTCTCTGGGCACTGCACACAGAGCTCGAGCTTATGAGCTGCCAACCCCCATCAGACTCTTCCCCCCAAAGCCCACGCCAACACCTCAACCTGCTTTAAGGAAGGAGCTACGGGGTCCTTCCTTCTGCCCAGCCTGTGGCATTACCTGGGCCGAGGGAGGCATGACTGTGTTCTCCAGGTGGGTCAGCAGGCGTTCAACAGCTGACACGCGCTTACTCAGCTCAAAGATCTGCAGCAGAGGGAGAGAAACAGTGGCCAGAGCGCCAGCCAGCCCCCTCCTGCAGCAGGACACCGGCACCCACCACCTTGGAAGCAGCATATCCCAGGAAGTGGAAGGAAGGTAAGGCCACCACCTGTGACATGGCCGGGGAGGTTAACTGTGACACCTGCTGCTGATACCAAGGTTCTGGAACACCAAGCAGAAGCTGGGAGCTGTACCAAGAGGGGCAGCATGGGGGGATAGACACAGCAGGGAGGTGACAAGTCCCACAAGACAAGGAAGCTGAATCCAAAAGCCCACAATGGTGTCACCGTGGGGCAGCTGTCACTGCTGACACTGATCAGCACAGGAAGTTTGAATTAAAGATGCCACCATGATCCAACTAAAGTCATTAGCTAGCCACTTGTGGGCCAGGTGACAACTTAAAGTGACCACAAGTGCAACTTCCTCATCCCTTGAGTCACCAGACTCTTGAGTCACCCTAAGTCCATTAGTTCCCAGACTGAGACGGAGAAAAATCAATTCTGCCCTGGTTTTCTTCCCGGCCGCAGATGCGTCTTTCCTGCCATTACCTTTACTGCTCGCCTCGCTTTAAAAGAGCGAGACGACACGTGCACAGTGCTAAGACGCATTTGCGTTGCTCGTAGGCAATTAGTTTGGTCTTCACAGCTCAGAGGGCTTGTGAGACGGAGAAAAATCAATTCTGCCCTGGTTTTCTTCCCGGCCGCAGATGCGTCTTTCCTGCCATTACCTCATTACTGCTCGCCTCGCTTTAAAAGAGCGAGACGACACGTGCACAGCGCTAAGACGCATTTGCGTTGCTCGTAGGCAATTAGTTTGGTCTTCACAGCTCAGAGGGCTTGGGGTGGACAAATCTGCCTGAAGGCGAGTGTAAGCTGAGACCCGTCAACACCAGTGGCCGCTGGTAATTGAGATCACCGCTGCGCATTTGGTGTCCACAGAGGCAGCGATCGATATCCTCGGGAGCCTTTGTCTCCAGTGAGCACGGTGCGTGGAACACACCAGGAGCCTCAGGAGAGGAAGAGAGACCCCCACCGTGCCCCAGCCAGTGCTTGGCATGACTGCTGTGAAATGTCACATCCAGAGTGAAAGAGACGGGGAGACAGCCCACGATGAGAAATCTCATCTGCATCCCTGGAAGAGGCTGGGGAGGCTGAGGCTGGAGGTGGGGGGCAGGAGCGGGGTTGGGGGGTATGGAGCGAGGGAGGGGCTGACAAGGGGAGGGCTAAGAAGCCAGCTGGGGGGACTCGGTGTGGCTTTCTGATGAGGCCCTGCTGGTCCAGGCTCTTTCAGTGGGGCGCGTGGACACGTCAATGTCATACAACCCTGGTTTCCATCTGGCATTGAGAGTTGCTGGGCCCCTTTCAGGCCACCCCAGGTGACAGCACTTCTCAGGTGCTCCTGAGTAACCTCGACAGACCTGGCTCTTCCACCATTTGCCAAAGTGGTGCCA